TATCTTTAAAATATTGATTTCTTAATTTTGGGTTGGAAAAGTGGGGGTCGTCTCGTACATGGGGCGTCTTATTGACGGAAAAATACGGTACTTTCTTGCCTTAATACAGTAATAATCAACTTTTTGGAACAGTCGGCAAATTTGGAATTCTGAAAGTATGTTGTGAATGCTCCCTTAAAATGGCTACAATGTCCATTCGCAAAATAGCTGTCATAGTGAGTAGGTGACTGTGTCATAAATAGTAATTTGCCAGGAGGCAAATTGGGGAGGTACCTCTCAGAATGTTCCCTACCATGCCAGTTGAGCTTTCTCCGAGTTTTCTGGGCACACTCCCAAACCAATCATTGAACTATAGATACTCACCCTTTTATTTTCAAAAAATGCCCATGGAGCCTATGAAGGATCTAGGGACATTCTTGGAAATAAAAAAGGCCCTAGAGACTGGTTCTTTGATTTGTAACAACATCTCATTTAGCAGTGTACATTTAAAAAAAATATTCAATAAAGAAATGAGGCTGGGAACTTGATGGGTACCAATATGAGTTCTTGGATGAGGATTTATCTACTCTTGGTTTACCGTATTACTCAAATTATAGGCCAAGCACACTATTGCCTTCCCCAAAAGTCTCCCTTCTTATATATCCACCGCATTTTTCCAATCTCAGTTGCCACCCTTCTTTTCAATTTTGCTATGTAAGTGATTTTGGAGATGGGCCATGAGGACAGAAGGAATCTCACAACTATCAATAACCTATTTATCCCTTTCTGAGTAAGTAGTTGAAGGGTCCCCCACTGATATCCTCCTCCATTAACCAGATAAATAAAGCTTTACAATTGCCAGATTAAGAATCATGGTCCACCAGCTCCCAGAGAGGAAAGGCTCATTACTCCCCATTGTTTTTATTCAATCTTCTCTTACCCTGCCAAATTAGTAGTATCCCTGCAAAAGATAACAACAAAGAAGATCAATCAATGGGTGATGGCCCATTTCTAGTCTGCTCCCACCACAATGCTGCAAGCCCCATTAATAAGTAAGATCTATAAACCCTAGAGTTTTTTTAAATACTAGAGCTTTTTTACAATACTAAAGGATAACTGAAATCAGAGGGGAAAAAAAGAAAAAGAAAAGAAATACAAAGTGCAAAAGAAAAAAGAGGAAAAAAAAAGAAAAAGAAAAAAGAATATTTAAAGAAGCGACTCCCAATCTTCCTTTTAACAAGTACAGGCAGATTAATATTTCCCCATCCCAATGATATTACATACTCCCATAATCCCCCCCATCCTTTCACAAATCCAAAAATCGTTGTCACGTCGGTCCAAGTATTGTCAAAAAGTCCATAAAGAGTTTCCAGAATTTTGTAAAAAATATTTCTTATTTTAACCCTGATCAGACAAGTCAACTTTATAAAGCCTTGAGTCTCAGTAGGAGAACGTACCAGTCAATGTCAATCTTCACCTCCGCTGAGTGGTTACGATCCAGCAGTTTCACCAGTAATCTGAACCATGAAAACAGCAACCCATTACAATCCATGTGACCCCAAAATGGCAGGTGTCTCTATTTTCCAAATGGATTATTTTCCTACTAGTTAAAATGGGTACTGCAATATACTGTTTATTAACAATGTCTTGAAATGTATTTTTGCATACTTTTCCCTAAATAACCAAATAATCTGCCAGTCTTTGCTTAGATGAGAAAACTGTTCTTTCCTTGATCTTGGCACGAAGGATTCATGGAGCAGAGGAAGTTCATTCTGCTTTGCTGTCTAAATTTCCGATTAGATGGTTTTAATCAAATAGTTGTGGTCATAAGAGCACTCAAGAGCTGGAAAAAGTAACTGTTCTTCAAAAAGCTTGTTGCTACTTAGGTTTTTTTTAATCTTTAAGAAAAGGAAGCTACTACTTCTCAGTTTCCTGTTAAAGCTGCTAATATTAAATTCAATCCTTGTCTATTCCCACCACGGATATTTTCTGGGGATGGAGAGATGCTAGCTGCAATTCTTTCTGGTTAGGGTCCATCGTACCCAGAATCCTGCTGAGTACCCAAATTTACCCCCTCCAGCATTCCAGCTAGAGTTTGCTTTAGCATCGTAATTGGCAATTGGCTCCAGAGGTTGAGTGTGGGTGTCACTGTGCTGGTTCTCTTCCTTCTTCTGGGGCCAGATCCAGTCAGTGTTGATAGGGGGCGGGGAGAAATCCCACCCTTGGTCCCTGCTTTGTGGGATGCCACAAGGTTTGGTACTTTCTCCTCTCCTGTTTAACATCTATGTGAAGCCAGTGGGTGAGGTTATCCAACAGCATGGAGTGAGATATCATCAGTTTGCTGATGATATGCAACTTTATCATTCTAGCCTGGGCCAACTAAGTGATGCTATGGAGGTCTTCTCTCGGTGCCTGGAGGCTGTGGGCATCTGGATGGGGAACAACAGGCTACAGCTCAACCCAAGTAAGTCTGAGTGGCTTTGGGTGCTGGGTCCCTGTTTCTAGGGACTTTCCATCTCTTGTTCTGGATAGAGTTGCACTACCCTAAACACGACTTGTACACATTCTGGGGGTCCTTCTGGACTTGTGGCTCCTATTCAAAGAACAGGTGGCAGTCATGGCCAGGAAGGCCCTTGCACAACTTTGCGTTGTGTGCAGGTTGCACCCATTCCTGGACCAGGAGGCCCTGCTCCCAGTCCCTCAAGCTTTAGTCACTGCTTGTATAGATTACTGCAATGCGCTCTACATGGAGCTGCCCTTGAAGAGTATTTGGAAGTTTCAACTGCTTCAAAATGCAGCTGCATGGGCAGTTATGTGTGCTCCATGATCTGTGCATGTTACACCTCTGCTCCATGAGCTGCAATGGCTGCCAGTTTGCTTCCAGGTTCAACTCAAGGCGCTGGTAACGATCTATAAAGCCCTACATGGCATGGGACCGGGTTATCTGAGGGACTGCCTCTCCCCAATTACATCTACCCGTCCCATCAGATCCAGCAGGACAGGCACACTTCAAGTCCTGTCTCCTAAGGAGTGTCACCTGACAAGGCCTGGGAAGAGAGCCTTTTCTGTTGTGGCCCCGCCCCTTGGAACTTCATTCCCCCGGAGATTAGAAAGACCCTGAAAACATAGTTTTACCAGTGAGCATGGGGATCAGGGAATGCGGCAGATATGGCACAATGTTGTATTAGTGATATTGTTAGATGTGATGACCTTGGCTATGAATGTTATAAAAGCTTTTAGAATGGCACTTTGTATGCTTCTATATTGGTTTTTTCTTCTTTTTTAAATTGTTATATTGTTTTTTGTTGTTGTTGTGTACAGTAGTTCTCTAAGGTGATGATAATAACAATAACAATAATACTGAAAATGTTCTGTGACCAACATCCTGGATTTGACCTCTTCTAAAGTTTTCAGTTTCCTGCCCAAAACAGTCTCCATGTTGGACTAAGTATTCTCTCACCTGGCACGGACAGAGAACTTGTTGTTGATTTTCAGCACCAGTGGACGTTGATTGGGAAATGGCATCCTCGGCTGTACCTCCACCACAAAAGCACTGGCAAGAGCAAAGCAAGGTTAGCCCTCAACAATTCATCCATTCTTTCCCACCTCCTCATAACATTTCCTTCCTGGCAGAATCCTTTCCCTCCCTTGTCACCTTTTCAAGAGGCAGATTATTTGCTCCTGAAGCCGCTGTACCAGAAGGGGCAACTGGTTCCTGAAGGGATCTGCCTCGTAACTCAACTTTTGGTGCATCTCATCCAGCATCTTCAGTAGGTGCAGCAGGTGGAAGAGATCCTCAGCATTCTTAGTGAACCTGCAATACAGGGGGAAGATCAGTGGATAACAGGGCCCTCAATGAATGGGCTGTGAAGAGGGGATCTGCAAGAGTCAAAAAGGCCTATCACCTAACTAGGAGCACTGACAGGGAGACCTGAAATTAAATGGCCTAGAAGTTCCTTTCAACAACTTTGACTGGAAATTAAGGGAAGAAAAACAGGAAGTGTAGTAATATCAGACCACAATGCCCAATCAACCTTTACAAGGAAAATAACAAGTCACTTTCTAACAAATCAAAGCTACTATGGGGCTTTTCAGGAAACAAGCAAATTACACAAATGGCCCTTTAAAGAGTAAAATCACAGGCATCCTGACCCACTAGAAGCTGGGAGATACTTAAAACCTGGCCCAATTGTTTGATTATGATCATGATTGCCTGACTCCTCATGCAATTGTTCTTAAAACAGGTATTTATGTAATTACTAAACCACATGAAATACTGGCTGAGTTTACACATCATAATAAGGACTGGTAGTTTGGTTTTGACTTAGATTTTTATGAACCCAGCTACCTTGGCTTGCGAACCATAGTTTATGGCGTACTGTGTTGCATGAACCCAGCCAATTGTGCTTCATTCAATAAAGCATGATTACACCAGACATAGCTCAGTGTGATCATGAATTAATTTAGTTAGGATCACATTTAAGTGTTGCCCTAAGACACTGATTCAGGCCCACCTTCTAACTGAAGATCAGTGATTCAGACAGATGTATAACTATCACTCCTGGGATAACTAACTGCAGTTTGCCTTGCCTTATAAAATGGCTTAAACAGCCATGTTACTTACCGCCAAGGGCCTAATGCCTTTCTTCAAAAAGATACTTTACAGAAATTTCTCATTAAAAACCACAAGCAGCTGGACCATCTGGATCCATTCGTGTGACTTACCACTCTTCCAGATGTCCTAAACTGGTATCACACGTATCTCCAATGCAAGCAAACCGCTGGTGATTTTGCCACGCTACTACCTCCTCCAGTAGCAGACCTCTTAGAGTATCAGAGCGTCCAAGAAGTTCCTGGATTTTCCCCAGCATCTCCTGATTAAAAACATACTGAATGCATAATTACATTCTCATGTCGGTTTTTTAAAAAATATAATTGCATCTTTAAACATATGTTTTTGCATTAGTAAGTTCAAATCACATGCTTTTGCAGCATTTGAAATTTACTGAAGTTAGTACTCTCTCTCTTTTTTGTTTGTTTTAATGAAAGGGAAAAAAATCACGGCACTGTACCAGCCAGTACTCATGCTCACCTTGCGGAAGCAGTCCAGCTTATTTATCATGTTTTGTAACTTCTGATGGGTTTTGGACCGAGCAGGATCGCTGGCAGGGGTGGTGCTTTCTGCAAGAAAAGAGCACGCTGTAGAGGAAGACTCTAACCTTGAGTCTGCTCTCATATGAATGCTGACTGCCAAGAGGGCTGATTCTCTAGGTCAAAGCTGCCAATGGTTTTGAAGGATCAATTGAGTCCCTCCGATCTTCCCATCCGGAAAGATCAGGCAGGAAGCAGGATTCATCTCTAATGAGGAGCTGCCTAGCATGGATGATTTGACTTCCTAAGCTGACTGTGGTATGGCAGGACCTGTTTCATTTTTGTCACTTGTTCTTTTAGCCTTGCGTACTAGCAGCAGGAGGACCGAGGATGACATCTCTAACAAATTTCAAACATCTGGATTGTGGTGAAACAGCATCTTTCTCTACCACCAAGGTTATGTATATAATCCAAACTTCTGTAACCAGATTCATTTCAAATTTACTCAGCTTTCCAATTCATATATTGGCAACCTGCTAGCCATGAACTCTCTCTAAGCCCATAGATTTGAGCTGAGAATGTGTAGGCGAGACAATGTATGTGGGGGTTTGTTACACCAGCTCTGAAAAGTTTAACAGTCAGTGAACCTCATCCTCAGCCCAAAAAAGTTGCCCAATCTGCCCCCCCCCACTCACAAACATGGATCTGGCACATATGATTACTGAATCCATTAAGCACCCAGGATCAGAATGTATGCACAAGGACCCACTGAGATTGTTGGACGCTCATTAGTTACACACTGAAGGACTACTGGCAGTCCTTGCTTAACAACCACAATATGGACTGGAAAATTCATTGGTAAAAGGGGCAGTCATTAAGCGAGGTATTACATGACCACACTTGATTTTATGACACTTTTTGTGGCAGTCGTTAAGTAAAACAAATGGTTGTTAAGCGAATCATGTATTTGTTAAATTGATTTTGCTTTCTGGAAGCCAGCTGGGAAGGTCACAAATGGTGATCACGTGACCCCAGGACACTGCAACTGTCATAAGTGTGAGCTGATTGCCAAGCACCCAGATTGCAATCACATGACCGCGGGGATGCTGCAACGGTCATAAGTGCAAGGACCGGTCGTTATTCAGTTTCAGTGCCGTTGTAACTTTGAATGGATGCTAAACAAACTCTCGTTAAGCGAGGACTATCTGTAATGGTAAAGCATAAAGTGTGGGAGATCAAGGAGGGAGGGGTTGCATTCCAGCAGGGGAAAGGAGGCAAAAGGCAACACAGTCCGCAGGGGGAGCGTGAGAAGAGTGAGAGATTCAGGATAGCCACTCTCTAGAATCTCCCAAGGTATGTATGTATGTATGTACATATGTACATATGTATGTTTGTTCGTTTGTTTGTTTATTTATTATTAAACTTGTATGCCGCCCATCTCCCCCAATGGGTGACTCTGGGCGGCTC